GCATATAGAAACAGGAAATAATTCATGTACCTTATATTTCTTACGGAGTAATTGGATCTAGAGAGCGTTTGGTTTATTAATGAGTGCATAGCATATCTTCATCAGCAGAGTTTGATTTTGCATATGGATTCGACACAAACCCATGCCAAGCCTCCACAGTCTAATGGTTGATAGATAGACCCCCAATTAATAAGGGATAGAGACTGCTTATTATCAGAAGATCCCCATATGAAGCGCTGAATAAGCTTTTCAATTTCCTTGCAGACTCCTGTTGGTAACATGGTCGTTTGCATGGAGTAAATTGGGATAGAGGCGAGAACGGACTTAGCTAAAGTGATACGGCTAGTGGTGGAGAGGGATTGAGCTATCCAACCGTCCAATAAGGTGCGCATACGCTTCAAGAATAAACTCATAATTAGCTCGCGTGATACGACCATCAAAGATTCAAATTGCGGTCATGGAGGCGATTGTGGACATAACGGGCGTGTCTAAATTAATGGGGTGCCTAAATATTTGCCCATTTTATCAACCTGATGAAAACCCAATCTATCACAAATAGCTTCCTTCAACCCTGAACTTGTGTTTGGAGGAAAAAAGATGGGTCGTTTTTCTTTTATTAACTCGATGCCCAGAATAGTGTCTGAAACACGACAATATGGAATTAATGACATCCGCATTTGGAATATCCGCTCTAGCATACATGACCAAATCATCTGCAAAAAAATAAATGGGAAAGAGGTTGACCATTCCGGATGAATCTAAAGGCCTACTGGATTTCCTTGCTAACAGAATTAGAAATGTTGTGGCTCATACGTTCCATGGCTAAAATGAAGAGATACAGCGAAAGGGAGTCACCCTGGCAGATTCCCTGTTCCGGATGGAAAGGTTCAAAAAGTTCACAATTCCACTGAATTTGGATAGTAGAAGATGTGACACAATACATAATTAGTCGGAACAAATTTTACGAAAACCCAACATCACACAGAGTATTATGAATGAAGTCCCTGTGCAATCTGTCAAATGCTTTTTCGAGATCAACTTTAATAGATATTCATCCTTTTTTGCCTTTGAAAATAACATTTTCTGTGATGTTACGATCCGAGATGAAGCTCGTTTGATTCGAGAAAATAAGAATAAATATGATGAGCTTCAAGCAACGCACAATTATTTTCCTAAAATACTTATATATAACAGTGCAAAGGCTGATTGGTCGAAAATCTTCAAACGTATCTGGAGCTTCAAACTTAGGAATGAGCACAAATGCCGTCTTGTTGAGAGCTGGTTCTAATTCCCCTCCACTGAAAATTGTCCGAATACAAGAGCAGATGTAAGAACCAATCACAGACGACTATTTTTGAAAGAATTTCGCATGAAAGCCGTCATAACCCGGTGCCTTAAGCGGCGCCATTTCATTCACAGCTTCTCGATTTTCTTCCTGCGATGGGCTAGTTTCTAATTCTATTGTTTCAGATTTAGGTCATCTCTAGCGATGCGCTAGAGTGGCATTCATCTTCACTTTAGAGATGGTTCTATGCTTTAGTCAATCGTCATTGTTATGTTGGATTGTGACGTCGGATTACAGTGCACGTCATAACTGACGTTGAACTGTAGCTGCATTACATTTTTTGTTTGTTATTTTTCTGATTTTTGATTTTTTTTAATTTCTTTTGTTATTCTTTTTCTTTTTCCTTTCTTTGATACATTATTTTTTCTTATTCTATCTTTTATGTTTTTTTTATTGTAATTTCTGCACAATTTTAACAAATCAAAATTATGTAACTTATGTTTTTTCGTATTATTATTATGAATTGCAATTTTCTTATTTATTTGTATTTTCGTAAAGTTATTTATGAATGTTTTATTTATGTTTTTTATCTTGATATTTATTAGAATGTATATGTTTTATTTTATATTTGTAAAATCAATATTATAATAGTTAAATATTATGAATAAAGTAGAGTTTGTGGTAATGTAGAGATAGAGTTAAAGATGAATTACTGTTTCATCTTTAGAGTAGAGATAAAGATGTTGTAGAGTAAGATAGAGATGTTGTAGAGTAGAGATGGGAGTTGGAGATTACCTTAGTTAAATTATTAAGAAATAAAACTAAACGAAAAACTATTTTTTTAAGTAACGTGGCATGACATGGTTTTTTATTTTCTCTATGTCACAGTATTAGACTTAATATTTATTAATTTTATAATTAATAAAATTTAAAAATATAATTTAAACACAAATGTTAATTTTAAATAAAATATGAATATGAAATATATTTTATTCGTATAAATATAATTTTTTAGTACATATTCGTATAAATAAAAAAAATGGATAATCAAGATGCTTTCATTTCATCCAAATGAACCAATACAATAAAAAAAAAACTCTACAAACACAGCACCAAACTATACAAACAAAACAAACAAATTAACTAAGCCTCCAGTTCTGTATCAAAACAGTCGAGCCAAGTACACATTCCTTGCACCTAACCAGCCTATCCCTAACACAACTCTTTATCAGCTCAAAAATACGTTTAGCACAACTAGGATGGCGTCCATGATTTCTATTTTTTTTTCCTGTCAAACAAAATAAAAAGTCATGTAAACGAACCGAACGGGAGTATATTCATATTCGTTCATTTAACTTTAACCGAACAAATGAACGAACACGAACATAAACGAACAATTTTTTTTTTCATGTTCGTTCGTTAAGGAATGTAGCTTGTTTGTGTTTGTTCATGTTCGTTTATTTAAATGATAAACGAACACAAGTGAAAACGAATAGATGTAAACGAACACAAACGAACAAACTTAAACGAACACAAACGAACAAACTTAAACGAACACAATAAACGAACATAAATGAAAATAATTTTGTTCTTTCCTAATAATTTTAGGATTATATTATATTTAATTGTTTTGAGCTTTTTTTTTATTTGTTTTTAAAATTAATTGAATTTTAAAATATTTATGGGTAAGATTAAAATTTATTGGGCTTTAATATTTTTAATAGGTCTAGAGTGATTGGACTAAACATAAATGAACATAAATGAACGAACATATTATCAAACTTTCATGAACGTAAATGAATGAACGAGTCATTTGTTCGTGTTCGTTCATTTAATTAAACGAACACAAAATCTTATTCATGTTCGTTCGTTTAATAAATAAACGAACATAAACGAACTTCCCGCTAAACATTCGGTTCATTTACATACCTAAGAATAAACCATGAAATTCTAAGTAAGACAAACGATTAAATTCAATAACTCCTTTCCCCCCACTATACCCCTGTACCCATTCCAACACTTCAGTCCAAGAGGACCCATGCATATATAGTCCACAAGCGTCTAAGATCATGGACCATACCTGCCGAACAAAGGAGCAAAGCACAAACAAATGGTCTCTTTCCTCCACCCATCCCTCCTCACAGAGTAAGCACTAAGGAGGCACAAAAAACCCCAATCGACTCATACATTGCCATCCACACAACAAAACTATACCTCGGAATGCAATACCTCCCCCAAACCGCCTCATACCATCTCACTTTCTCCCTTTTGCTCCTAAACAAGTCCCCAGGATCCTTAGCTTTGTAAGGACCAATCGGATCCCCCAAGCACAACAAATAGTCTTGAATCTTCAACAGCTTCCTCCACTCCCAACTATGTCCCGGATGAGACCTAACATGCCACACACACTATCCTTTCAGCACATAAACCCGTGTCCAGGCCACCCATAAAGTATCAACACAAATAACACCGGCCAGAAGTTCCTCATCATATATGCCTTGTTCCAAGCTAAGAGCTCTTTAATCCCCAACCCCCCTTCTTCCTTTGAATGACAAATATGGTCTCTTCCTTAAAGAGTTTATATTATAAAATTATATAAAATTATATTTGATATTTATACTTTGATAAAATATTTGACGTGATATATATATATATATATTAAAATATTTAATATAGCATATATATTAGTAATAAAATGTTTAATAAAAAATATTTGTTTTATTTTTATATTATAATAAGTACATGAATCTAGTGGAAAATATTCCAAGTGTAATAAAAATATCGAATATGATACTATTCCGACTCGGAATTTTGGTTTATAATTGCAAGACTTGTGATCGGGTTTTCCTTTGTTATGTACTAGGGCCTTTTGATTTAGCTCAAATCTGTAAAATTAAATTCGATGTATTATTTCTGTTGGAATTTGCATTTGATGTATAAATATTTGGTTGATATTTCTGCCTTGTGATAAATTTAAAAGAAATAAAATAGATATTTAGCCATTAAATAATGTTAAAATAATTTTTATTATTAATAAAATTTTAATATAATCATTAAAATGTTCAAATAGTTGTAATTATTACAAAATCATATCTAAATTTATCAATATTTAACACGTACGATTCAAAAAATTTAATTCTGAAAAAGGATAAATTGACCTTTAATCCTTTGAAAAATCATACAAGTATAAAAAAATTAAATTCATTTTAGCCATGGATTCGGCTCCGCACTTTTAACTTGACACCTAAGAGATAACATCATACATTTTTAAATACAACGATCATTTAATATTTCTCAATAACCCTAAATACAACGATCTAAAATATGCTTTAAATTTGAAATTCAGTTGATCATAGTTCGTAGGTCAAATAATTTAAATTAGGTACCACATTATCCATTAAACTATTCCAATCTAACTTACTTTATTTATAATAATAACTCTAAATGTTACTTAAAGAATATGGTGTATTATCTCCGTGAATTCAACAAGTAATTAACAATAATCTCCTTCCAATATTAACTAGATATATAAGACTTTGTTTTTGTCGTCAAGACCGATGGATGAAAACCTAGAGTTGGACCAAAGCCTTCACAATGAAATCATAAATTGTGATACACGAAGACCTCAGATCATACATTGTGATGGTTGATTCTATTTAAGACCCTATATATATATATATATATATATATGCGTTACTCCACTTCTTTCATAAATTGTCTTCTATATTGGCTTCCTAATTATGATTCAGAACTTGTTAAAAGCTCCATCTCATACTTAAATCACAGCCTACTCCGGCATCGACTCTTGCTCGTGTAGTCGATCAAGTCTCTTCTTGGTGCGAATGCCGATGAAAATCGTAGCCCCCACCGATGCACAGAATCCAACAACGTTGAATATTATCTGTTTGGGAGTAAGACTCCTTTTGTCCTGTGTCGCCTCTGCAAATGATCGTATCAAAATCCCACTGCAAAACAAAATGAAAAATAATGAGACAGTTGTTGGTTTTCACAAAACTCAATGGACTACCAAGTGATGTGGGATGTGGAAACCTGTAGAGTGCAATAAAAACTTCAGGCAACATCCCCACCCATGTCCCCATCAAGTAAGGAGTGTAACGGACATTGGTAGCCCAAGCGGCGTAGTTAAACATAATGTAGGGCAATGGGCTGATCCTAATCAACGTAACAGTTCGGAACTGATGAAACCACCCCCCTTCTCCCGCAAGTCTCAATATTGAAGCTTCCTTTGGATATTTCTCTAACACCCGCTACGTTATAAAAACACAAAATAATAAATAAAATTAATAAATCAACCATGAAACTCCCAAGCTCAAAAGCACTTGGTAGGAAGAGAGAATGAAAAGGAAATAAAACTCACTTGAATTTCGGCGCGAAAGACAGAACCAACAAAGTAAGGTAACGATACACCTACAGAAACCCCGGCCATGACCAGTAGCATTCCTTTTACATATCCATAAGCCATTCCAGCCATCCACATTGAAGGTGTAGATGGCAAACATATGGTTGGAAATACAGCTAAGGTAGCTAAGATTACACTTATTCTCTCGGTGGTGTTAAACGCATGGGCCTCCCATTGTAAAGCCGGAACAACCACCTGTCGTCATATAAATCCATCTTATTGGTTCACACAGTTGTTTTCTCAAAATATCAACAAATACAGCTTTAAAGCATAACTGGATTCACTATCAAAGGCCTAACACGATAAATGAGCAAATCAAAGTGGTGAGGCTAAGAGCTAGCTACTATCCATAATAAAATGAGCATTTTGGAGCACAAACTCGTTTCTCTTTAGCTCATGTCCATCTTGCAAGACCCCAAAACTATCCAAGTACGTCTAATCATCTTAAAAGATCATTCTTCAGCTATATCGAACACCAAATAACATCAACAGCAATCAACTTCGAAAGATGGCTTCTAATATTTCTCTGGGTCCAAATCTTAGCTTCTACTATCCATTATAAATAATTAAATATGTCATGAACATTAATATATATATATATATAGGGTTTGAGATTGCTAAATACCTTTTTGAACACAAAGGGTCCAATCCATTTAATTGCAACTATGACCACAATGACTGAAGAGATGCCAACTGCGATCAACTTAAGTAGCCGATTCCATGATTTCTCGTTGGTAGGGATTTGAGGTAAGGGTTCTTCCTGCAAAGGTAACTCAACTTGGGAATTGCAAGAATTTTCTTCTCCACGTTGTTCTTGTTCTTGTTTGAGTTCTTCTTCTGCTCCTGTTTCGTCTTCTTTTATTCTCACATACGCCACGTTATTAATTTCCATTGAACGTCAAGATTCATGACCAGTGTTGCTGCTGCTTTAAATTCATAACAAGAAGAAACTGTTGCAAACAATTTTGATCCCTTTATCACCTATAGAAGAATAAGAGCAGAAAACGGCTTTGATCCTTTGTGTATTATATATGAAATGAAACCATTAGTTATGAAAGAATTACAGTGGTTGGGGAGAGAGAAGCTTTGTATAGATTGAGGGTTTTTTTTGTAAGGTACATAATGCAAAAAAACGGTTTTCTACGAGATATTCGGCCATGAATTCTCTGGAATCTATCAAGTTTTGTGGTCTGTTGAAACTGGCTACGGCTGCCAAAATTAACCTTTAAACTTCAAGATGTTAATTAATTAGGAAGTTGGAAATGCAATGCAAATCTGGCACAACACAAGCTCGATGAATTTAAAACAAAATTAAGACATAATTTCTTCGACATACGACAATAACAAGATGGACAAATATAATAAAATATAAATTACTACTCCCTAGTCAGTTAAAAAATAACTATAAAAAGTTAAGTGACAAATTTAATGAAACGAAATAATTTTTTCTAAACGATTTCAGTGATTAAGGAATTTTTATTATTACTTATTTATTTAAGGTCTCAAATTCGATTACTACATATACAGGGATACGATCCTTATTAATTTATTATGTCTATATGTATTGTATCATAGTAGAAGTAGAGGTGGCAATTACATCGTTTGGATCCGAATCTTCTTGAGTTCGAATTATATTTGGTTTGGATTTAGTTCAAATTTATGATAAATCAAGTCAAGTTAATAACAAACCTATCAGAGAAAAGACGTGCACCGGTTATAATGGAAGGGTCTCCATCCAGTACTTCAGCTCAGAGGGTTAGTATTTCTAGTGATGAAGCCAGTGTTACCGAGAAGCAGGACAGTGGTATAAGAAGTCGAGAAGTTGGCGAAAACACACAGGAGGCAGAATATACTAGCGCTGATCATTTTATTAAAGGTGGCTTTGGTTCTGACATAGATGGTTGTCGGTACAGTACCTGTTCACGAAGGAGATACCATTGGAACTGAGCGTGTTCTTGAAACTGAAAGCTTGGGAATCGAGGTTGAACATAATTTTGATTTGAACAGGTCTGGAAGTTTAGGCAAAGATATAATGCAGTTTGATTGTGAAACTGATGCAAATGAATATAATAATCAAATTCAAACAAATTTCCCAGATACTTGCATGCATTCTCAGTCGAATAAACCTAATGATGCTCAAAATTCTGTGGAAGACACAGAAGCTGGAGGTACAATTAGGACAACAGTCCTTTTCGCTTCTGAAGTTTTGGGGAGTTGGGCTTACAGTTCCTCTGTCCACGGAGAATATGAATCCCCAAAAATTGATGAGGATCATGCCATGGCTATTCATGATTCTGCTGGTCTGGTAGCTGAGAGTCAAAGCAATGCTACTGCTGCTGCTTCCAGACGTAATGTTTGAGCGTCAAGCATGATGATGGGGATTGGGGCTCCTCATTTAAAGGAGCGTCAATGGTTTTGATCGACAGATGGAAAAACAGAGTTCTACTTCTGAATCAGATACGAAGAATTCTGCTGACAGTAATGATGAAGTAGCTGCTGAAAGTGGGTTAATATCGGATACAGAAACAGAGGGGGTTATTGAGCAGTCTAATGAGGATCAAAAGCGCAATGATGCCATGGGGGAGGATGACACACTTCCAGTGAAGACTCCCATACCAAATCTTGAACCTTCTCCGTTAATTATTTACTTGGTGGAGGACTAGGCTGACCATATAATCTTTGATCCTTTATCTATTTTAATTTCGTATTTCTCTACTCCTTCCCAGCTTCCACTTGATACGTATTCATCGCTAATTAAACTATCTTGGCTTAATCTGGGTTTTTAAAACAGCGATGCGTGGCTCAAGCTATGAATTGGGCTCTCTAACTTCATTTTGTGCTCAGCCCTTGCCGTGAATAAGAGAACAAGGGACGAGAGCATGCTAAAAGTCTGAACTTCTTTCCATATATTGCTTTTGACTCATCGATTCAACAATGTTACGATTAAAAGAGAGAAAAATGTGAAGGGACGCGTGTATTTAATAGCGGGGAGTCAGAGATGTTGATAGATTTCTGATTTGAAATTTAGAGAGTACGGGGATGGTGATTTGGACCACGTGGTCGAGGCCTTGATGGGAGGGTGAAAGCTAGATGCTCTACCAGAGCTCATCAATGCTGCATCTCAACCCATTAGTTGCTCACTAAGACTATCAAATCAAAGCAAGAAAAAGAGGATTCAAGTGTTAAACAGTTAGATCTCTAAAAAAATGAAAAATCAGAAAATACTGAAATTAGAATGTGTTGCAACGGAGGGGAGATTCATTTCATTCTTGACTACTTCATACCACTCGGTATTGTAGTATTCGAGTGCTTTGTCTTAGTAATTAAGACAATAATGAATGAATCCTAGGCTAGGCTTTGGTAATGGTAGCCATCAATTTCTTCGACCATTTATATTCTTCCAAACAACATGATGAGGGATGCTTTTTTACAGTCCCCTTCTTCATCGGGTAACTTGTAAAAAGATCTATAAAGAATGCATCATTTTCTTCACATCATATAAAAACTATTGACGGTAATATTTGTTGTTTCAAGGGAAAATATGTAAAGATTAGGGATGGCAAAAAAACCCGAATTCGATGGGAAAAACCGAAAATCGAATTAAACGGGTCGGGTTCGGGGATGATAAACGGGGACGGGGACGGGGAAAATCCATTTATTTTAAACGGGGACGGGGACGGAGACGGGTTTAGTAATCCCCGCCCCGATTACCCGCCCTGATACCCGACCCGATAAATATTAAAAATAATTATTTATATATATATATATAATATTAATAAATTTAATTTAAATAAAAAATATATATTTAATTTAAATATATATACCCGGCCCGATTCCCGGCCCAATACCAACCCAATACCCGGCCCAATACCCGTTTAAATAACCGTTTATGCTAAACGGGGATACCCGTTTCCCCGCGGTTTTCCCCGATTACCCGACGAGGATCCCCGTTTAAATCCCCGTGGTTTTTTAAAAGGGACGGGTACCGATTTTTTAAACAGGGACGGGGACGGGGGGACCAATACCCGGCCCGTTGCCATCCCTAGTAAAGATGGGAGGGTGATTGGAATCGAGACACTCAAATATGGACAACAAAGCCCAAAGTGTCTGAATGAAGGACCATGTGAGTGAAGTGGGCAAGGTGAAACTGGACCAAAATCAAGCACCCACCCATTAACCCTCATAATGATCCCAAATGGCCATTGCTTTTACCTTGATGATGAAGAAGATAAGAGTCTCAAATGGAGGAAGGGTTTGTTTTGGGGTAAAAAGTCCAAAAGAGGAGGTTTCATTTTCCAAATTAAATGAGCATGGGCTAAGGGGTACTCAATTACGTGAAAGAAATAAAGGACAAAAGAACCTAACCACATTGACTACTCCCTCCCTCTCTTCCCCACCACCTCCAACCACTGGCGGATGTAGGTTGAACCAGGGTAGTATGCCTGAAATCTAATTTTTTTTATGTTAGTTGTTTATTTTATTAAATGTGTCTATCCTAAAATTTTATTTGTGTTCATCCTGAAATCTATATTTTTTTATGTTAGTCGTTTATTTTACTGAAGATGCATACCCTAAAATTTTATTTGTGCCCACCTATACGAAATTTTTTCGTTATCAATACATTGTCCATTGCCTCCCACCCTACACTCATTTTTCTTTTGGACTTTTCTCCACCCTTTCGTAGGTCCACACGTGACTTTCACGTGCCTTCCCATGATTATTCAGTTACATTACAAAATTTAGAGTTTACTACCCCTAATTCATTGGCTAAGTTGATGATAACCATAGGCGAAAAGAAGGCCAAAAGCATCGATAATCATCAATCCCATCAGAAATTAACAGAACAATCATCAAGTATATGAGTCGACAAGTGATTTCACATGAAGACAAATGATTAATAAGGTTTAAAGGAAGTGGAGTTGTGTTGGATTTACATTTGTCTCTACTTTGGCAAATCATAGACGGTGAAGGAATAATAAAGGGGTTGTGTCGGCTTTTCAGTTTTAGTAGGAACATCAACATGTTTCCCATGTCCAAACCGTAAAATATAAATCAAACTCCTCCTGGGTAAATTTTGGCTGTAAATGGAAGTACTCAAGGGGAAAGTTATCGAAAGGGTTAATGCAGGTGTAGAGGGAATAGTCGTTTTCTGTGTGCCCCAACACAACTTGAAGCTTGTCAGCCCCCTTTGGCTTTAAAGTCTCTTCCACACTTCAATTAATTAAATATTGATAATTATTATTTAAAAAAACTTTTAATGATCTTCTGCCTTCCTCTCTCCGCAATTCATCCATCATCCATCGATCGCTGCCCCTTGGTAATCATCACTTCTTTTGCCATCATTACCATGAAAAGCCTCTCTCTTCTCTTTGCAATTCAATTATATATAACACTTTCAGAGACAAATACGAAACATAACCCAACAATATATATAACCTCTTCCTAGTCCAAAACCACTCTTTTTATCTTAAGCTTTAGGATTTTTCCCAGTGTAAAGCAAACACTTCTCTACTTTCAATCCTAAGATGTGCATCAAGTCTTCAGGATCGGGTCCAGGCAATTCCTTGTGTCCTTTCAACAGACGTAACATCCGTGTTCCAAAGCTCAACAGGTTTAAGATTTCTTCATGCTTTGTTTCCTTTGTTGTGTTTGGTCATGAATTTAACAAAAGTGTCAAACAGGTGGAGAAGGTTAAGGAAGGGAGGGAAGGTTAAAACAGATCATATGGAAATGAAGAACTTGAAACTGTACATGGAGAACCAAAGCATCCTAAAACAGAATGAAGTTCTGAGGAACAAAGCTCTTCTCCTTCACCAGGAGAATCTAACCCTCTTGGCTCAGCTCCAAAAGAAGTTCTCTAATCCTCAAAATCACTTCTAAAATGGATAACATGCAAGCTCCATCGTTATGAGTAACGCGTACCATGTTGTGTAATATTATGCTCTTTTCATATATTCGAGTTGGGAATAATGTTTCGAGTTTTATTTGCGTATCAATTGATGAAGAGTGGGGATAGAACAAAGAAGTTTAATGTAGACTTTAGCAGGTGCATGGATAATTTATTTAATTAAATGTTTATTGTTATTGAAGCTGGAAACACAGAGGAACGGACGCCTTTCTGTGGAAATCAAAGAACGCCCATTTCTAAGAAGTACAAGCCAAATATCCATAGGCGTATCAGTACCATGTGTTCTTTATTATTTTTAAACAACCGGGTAGACTTTATCAGTGGTTCTATAAACGAAAATGTAAAATTGCAATGTCGAAATAGAGACACCAGCAGCAAGTTCTGAACATTGACAAGAAACTAAAAACTGGCAAGATGAAGTAGAGACATCACCCAACCAAGATGAAGTCGTCATCATCCAGCACCTTAATGTCTTTTTCTCCAAAAAAGTTCTCCCTCCCAATTTCCTTGACAAGGTTAACAAATTCTTCTCTCTTTGCCAGTGGAAGAGGTACATATGGTAACCTGAAAACTGGCCTCACAACCCCCAGCTGGGCAAGGGCTGAGTTAAGGCTAATGGGGTTAGGCTCCTGAAAGAGCCACTCCATCAGAGGTAAGAGCTTTGCGTTAAGTGAAGGGTTTTTCCCACCGAACATGAGTTAACGCATCAAGACTACGCATAGGGAGATGGAAATTAGGTATCACTGCTGCTTGTGGGGATCTCCATTTCACATTTCTCCAGCTACAAAGCAAGCAAACAAGATGATAAGCAAATAAACTATGCAAATAGAAAATTCCAACTGAGACTATCCTTGCTTCTCGATAACACCCATCAAGCACTAAAGCAAACAAACCAAAATCTTTTTAACAAGCCTTACTCTATATACCAAATCAGCCAACAAATAATGTTGATTAATAAATTAACATACTAATTTAAAGACTACCACGATTAAGAAAAAGAACAGTATCTTATCCTAAATAAAGAATATTAACAACCTTTTTCGGTTATCGGTGTGACTGGGAATCGGAAACTGCAACGTAGAGTCTCTCAAGCAAGCACCATACCTCTTCAAAATGGTCATTTCTCACCAAACAAACAGCTAAACAGAACCCAAAGTCTAGATAAGCTGGAATTTGTTTTGGGTGGGAATCATTAAACTTGGAAATTAAAAATGTACGAGAATCCGATAGTGGGATGGGAGGTTGATTCAACGGATTGTAATGGTGGTGACAATAGTGGTGAAGGTTGTCGATCGGGGAAAGACGGCGGAGCTGCTTAGGTGACGGTGATAGGTTTGAGCCATGACGCCGGATTCCGGTGATGAGGTAGGTGAGGATTGTGAATTGAGTGAGAGGTGAAGATTAGGGGAAGACAATGGAGACTAGCAGTATAATTTGTGTGTTTCGGTTGGAATGGATGCGGTTTCAATTGTCTAGTTTTTGCAATTTTGTGCGTAATTCTACAGCCAAATTTCGCAAATCTTCCTTCGACTCCTCATGTCTTGTTCCTGTCAAGTGTGTTGAGCTGACGTTGTTAGGCTTCATGTATGACAAAGCTAAATTATGAATGTGTTGGATCCAAATACAATGGGGCCTCAACCAATATACCATTGGGCTGCCCAAAGGTTTTAATAGTTTGATTTATGAAGCTCAACAATTTAGCTAGTTCCAAGGATTGAAATATTAAAATTTGATACTATATGGTCTTTTCATTTATAATATTAAAATTTAAATCTTATCTTTTAATATTATATGTTTAATTATTTTTACGCATCAAATAAACTTAAATGATACTATATATACCTATATTAAACCATCATCGTTGATCAGTCCTTAAACAAGGAAAAACAGCCTCCCAGGCTGCACCTATGGTGTTTTATAACCCTTCTCTTCTTCTACGGGACTTGAGACTACCAAGATCTCCTAGATACAAAACGACACCAGCAAGAAGACAAAAATGAATGTCATGTGCTAATGGATAAACACCATTGCCGATCGTTTAATGTGATTTGGTCTTCAGCTAAATATAGTTATGCAAATGTAATCCTATGTTAGCTTTAGTTGTTACGAGTTATGAAAGGTAATAGTAAATTTATATGAACAAAATTATAAATAGAGAAGAAGAAAGTTAATCATAATCGACGTTGTATAAAGAACATGTATAACCCTGAAAAAAAAACTCAACATTATGTACACTTTTTATTTATATGCATACATATAAACGTGTGATATAGATAGTAATAATAGGAGGTGGACGATCCATTGTAATTGCTAGTCCATAAAAGTGAAAATTGTGTACATTTTAAGTTGCATGAGATATTTACCGTAAAAGGGAAAAAATAGCGAAACCTTAATATTTTTTTTATGTAATAATAATCATTGAAGTACCTCTTTTTACCCCCCCCCCCAAAGAATCAAGGGATCTATGTTAATGATGAAGAAGAAGAATGAAGTGACAGTATCTCAAACTACGGTTAGGGTTGAAAATCAACAAAACGTTGGGTAAACTGTATTTGAACTATTCGTTCATTTATGTTCATTTTAAAGATAAATAAATGAGTATGAACAAAAAAATTTATGTTCATTTATTAAATGAACGAACACAAATAGAGGTGTAATTTATGTTCACGAACAAGTTTGTTTATTTTATGTTCATGAATTAGCTCGTTTACTTGGTTCTCCTTTTTCTTTTTGTTTACATTTTAAATATTGGTGAAGGTAGAGACTAAATTGAACACATGATAAAAGTTTAAATTTAAATTGTGAATTTTAAGCACTAGTGGTGTAATTTTATCATTTTTCTCTATCTTGCAAACGATAAGATAAAACTAAAAATTTAATATATAAACGAACAATAAACAAACACTAAATGAACATGTTAGTGAATGCGTTCACGAACAATAAATAAACGAACACGAACACCTTCAAAAATAAATAAACGAACACGATATTAGAAATTCAAAAATAAAAACGAACATCTTATTTATTTAAACTCGATTCATTTACGCCCCTAACTACGGTCCACCCAATTATTACCTTCAGGTTGTGGAAAAGCCTATAAGGTGTGACTTTAATTTTATATCAGGTTGCAAATCAAATTATGAAACAATTACGCACGACTACATTGTTCAAATCATCACATGCATAACTCTTGAATTTGAATCATCCCCATCTTATTATTTATCTGGATACTGAATCTAAAATTGGATAATTTTGTAATAACTTTTTATAATTTGATATTATTTGTATGGTTTCCTTTTAATATATATATATTTTTAGAAATATAGTTATACTAAATACATATCCTTATCCAATAGGAACCAAAGCTGTTGCTTTATGTCACGGACCACGAGCCCACAACCGAGGTTAGCCCATGAAGAGCAGCCCAAGTGGTGTTTTGGATCTTCTAGAAGCCACAAAGACTTAGGTGGCATTTAAATATGTATAGATAATGCCCACTTGTTTTTGGTAGGTAAAGATTAATCTCGACCGTCGATGTAATTAGATCTTAGCCGTTCATTGAGGGGAGCTTTAGCTATAAATAGAGGCCTCCCCTCCTCATTTGTACTCACTCCTTCACTTTGAGAAATCATAAGAGCATTCTTCTCTCAAAGCTTTCTTATCTTTCTTCTTGTGCTAGTTCTCTTGTCTAGCTTCCGTCGAGGTTCTAAGCATCCTTGCTTAGGATATTTTCAGGCTTACTTAGCCGCGATCACTAAGAAAGCGACTAAGGCCGCACGTTCCGAGGTGTCGAAGTTCTAAGGGCGTGACAAGTGGTATCAGAGCTAGTTTTACAAGAGATGGCACAACACAACCAAGACGAGGTCCCCACAAGCGAAGTGATGGAGACTCGCGCTGCAGTGGCAAAGAAACGAGGGAGCTCGAAGGATATCGTGGCCTCGTTTGAGCAAAGGGTCGGTAGATTAGAAGACCGATATAATGAAGTTCAAGAGACTCAAGACTCAGTTGAATCTCGCTTAGAGAAGGTGGACTCCGTAGAGGATATACTCCGTGAAGAAACTCAAGCACTCATCAGCGAGTTGACGGATAACGTAGACGACCGTACCAGAGGCCTCGAGAGCATGTACTTGGCCATGAGGGCCGAAATAATACAGGAGGTAAAGGAGCTCAAGAGCGAGCTGCTCGTCTACAAGGCTGCCGTGCTGAATGGAGTGACTGGGGAGGCGCAAGCACCAAGACCCAGGATCGACATCCCTAAGCCAAAGGAGTTCAAAGGGAGTCGGACTGCCCAAGATGTGGAGAATTTCATCTGGGGCATGGAACAATTCTTTCGTGGTATGGGTATCGGGGATGATACCACCAAGGTAAATGTTGCTTCCAATTATCTTACCGATGTTGCTATGTTATGGTGGCGTCGTAGGTGTTCCGAGATTACAAAACCAATCGGGACGTGGGAGGAGTTCGTGGGAGAACTTAAGGAGCATTTCTATCCGAAGAATGCTGTGCTCGAGGCTCGAGCAAAATTGAAACAATTAAAGCATGACCGATCCATCTTGAAGTATGTCAAAAACTTCACAGAGATCAAGATGCAAATCCCGGACTTGGGCGAGTCCGAAGGTTACTTTGCATTTATGGATGGACTACAACGTTGGGCCAACATGGAGATCCAAAGGAGGGGAGTGACCGAACTCTCCAAGGCATTAGATGCAGCCGAGGCTATTGCCCCGTTTGAAGTAAAAAGGACCGACTCTCTCCAATCCAGGTCGAAACCCAAAGGTAATAGTGGGGGAGAAAAGGCCAAAGGAAACTTTCACAAGCCAACGGGAAATCATGGGAAGCCGAATGATCGACCCAAAAAGCTCTTCAATCCTTGGGAGAAAAAGGGGGGAATTATCATGCTTTTCTTGTGGAGGAAATCATATGAAACGAGATTGTCCTCAACTTGTGAAAGTTGCTGCCATCAAGGAGAATGATGGGGTGGAGAGTGAGACTCTCAAACTTGGCTCCATCCTTAGCACCATGGAGGTCAAGAAAGGCCGCAAGAAGAAGGGATTGATGTACGTAGACATCACCGTCGCAGGCCAAAAGATGAACGCACTGGTAGACACAGGTGCCTCAGAATTGTTCATGTCCGAACAAATTGCCAAGAGACTTGGCCTTCATGTGGAGAAGGCAACGGGATCCATCAAA